CACATTGCAATAATTATATTAAAATATTAGTGAAATGAAAAGAATTTGTATACAATGTCATTTCCCCTTCCCTTAACTCAGTCTTATTATATCTGTTACATCAACAATTCACAATATCTTTATCAGTAACTGTTATACAAGTATACACTTTAAGACAAAGAAGCACACATTAACGGCACATCTGTGCTATGCTAGTACTTCAGATGTGTTAAGTTTTATAATAATATATGGCTTAAAATGAGATGATAACTATACAATGGATTGGAGCACATACACCTAGCAGATGAAAAAATGACAGTTTAACTGACCTCATTATCCTTTTTCACAATAAGAATAATACTATTAATATTAATAATGATAAAAATAATGCTATTAATAATATCAGGTGACAAAATATATAGTATAAGTGTTGTAGACATACTTCCTAAATTTGGTTATGGCATGCCAATCAGGGGCAGATGCAGCTGTCCAATTTGACAACTTTCTTTCCAGACTAACCTCCAGACAATACAGAACTTAAATCGACTATTTGGTGTTATTTCTCTACAGGAAAATTCCTACCATCTTCAGAAGTAGCTAGAAGAATGTCTAACCCTGCCCGTGCTTATTTTTATTGCAAGCCTTGCTTACAACGTGAATCTCTCCGTCTCCCTCCCTTGAACACTTAAATATTCTCTGTGGTACATAAAGCATGAAGGCAAATGAATTTTTCTTTCTTTTTAAAACAATCTGTTCACAGCATTTTCAACTCAAACCTCAAGTACAGATCCTTTTTAAATTGTTACTCAAAATTTTGGTTATGAGAAAGATGAAGCAAACAGTCTTCATGGTAACATTAACAAGTTATATGTACTGAGGTCCTAAGCTGTGATTTGTTTATAAATATGTGTATTCTTGTTTTAAAAAGAAAGGTTTGTAAGTCAAAGACTACAGCTCCACTTAATGATGTTTTTTCGCCTTTCTGTCACCTTTGTTCCAGCCCCACTCCCCTTGCCTGGTCTCATAAAAATGGGTTGTAGCCTTGAGACTGCATCCCCATTCCCACAGGTTGCTGTGGTGGGGGGCCTCCCATGGGCATCAGGGGTTGGGGAAGTAAGGTAGAGTTTGTGGCCTGGGTGAAGCCCATGCTGTTGGAGGTCTGCATTTGCCCCATTGGGACCCTCACTGGTGGTGCATGCACACCAAATGGATCAGGAGTTCCTCCAATTCCATTTGTAGCAAAAGGGTTGGTTGTGCCTGAAAGAGAGCGAAATCCATCTCTCAAATGGTGTATTAAGACTAGAAGAATAAGTAGACCAAATGACATTTTTAATTGTTATGAAAAATGTAAAGATCAATATTACTTAAAATGCCATGCGAGTTGTTTAAAACCAGTTTCAGACAATTTTTTCTCTCATTTTGACATTTTTTAAAAAATGGTTCTACCTCCCCTTTCAATTTTTGGGTGTACTGTTTAAATATTTAGTAGCACTGACAATTTCCTAAAATGGCTACTGAAAAGAACTTATGATCATTGTGTGGTAAAATAACAGTTGCCATTGCTTACCATAGGGATTTCCCTCTGGCTTAGCTATCAAAGCATCAAGATTGACCAAGCTCGAGTTTGCACCCAGAAAATCTTCTGGTTTCTTCTTTTTATCTTGTTGTGGTGGTAGAGCTGAGTTTAAGCTCCCTAAATTAAACAGATCATCTGAATCTGAAAGGAAAATGTATAAAAATCATAACAACGTAACACCAAGCAAGCATTCTGACAGTGTGAAATGAGAAGAATATAATTATCATTTCCCCTAAGCTTTATGGAATACATAACTTACGTTACAACCAAAAAGTAGAAATGAATGCCCTTACAAAATCAAACAAAAGAATTATTACATGGCTTGTTGACATGATGAACAGGTTTATACAGATACATTTTACATATCTGATTCCTTGTGGGCCTGTACAACATGTCAAAAGATATCACAAGTTTATATTTCACTCATTTCTCACTTAATTAGAGAGAACATAATTCATAATCTCAAGCAAAACAAGTTTCATGATGATAACTTTTTTTCTGTGTTGAGCACTGCATTTGTCCACCATTGCAGTCAAACATATTCATCTTACATAACAGCCACAAAGACCCAATTTCCAAAACCTGTCAAAATAATCCCTACCTCCCAACAAGCTCCCAGATGCTTGAGAGGTGCTGGTGGTGGTGGTATCTGAAGATGGAGCAGCTGTGGTTCTAGAGCTAAGAATGTCAAACTCATCGTCCAGTGTGTGAGAGGGTGTGGCACTACTCCCAAAGGGATCCACACCAGCACCACTTGAGGGAGAAGCTGGAGCACCCCAGATATCTTTGGATGCAGGCACAGGGGCAGCGGCTGTTGATATGGGTGCACCCCATGGGTCATGTGCTGAATGGATGAATAATCAAATGAACTTAACCTCTGTTTACACTAGTGGTTTTAAACCATTTTGTTTATCACAAGATGGATATGATGTAAATTCAAGCACACTGCATGGGTTGGTCTTCATAATACTACATTTGAAACAGAAATTGCTCATGCCAGTACTAGTACACTTGTTTTCTTTAAACAATGTTGGCAGTGTGGTGAAATTTACAATGACTGACAAGCTACAGAAGTAACTGTATGTTGTATGTGTACTTTTTACTGGCTAGAAACATTAAAAACCACAAACACTTGCAAAGATATAAAGACGCATTACCTTTCCATAGTAAGTAAATATTTAAAAAGTACAATAACAAGACATACTAAAGTTACAACATCACTATTTAAACCCTTACCGGGGGTATGTGCAGGTGTGGACTTGGAGGAGCCAGATGTGCCCCAGGGGTCACTAGCTGCTGCTGCTGGGGGTGGAGCAGGAGAACCCCAGGGATCAGCCACAGGCTGTGGCTGTGATGGTGGTGGTTCTCCCCAGGGGCTACCCCCACGTTCTGCTGGCTTGGGAAGTTGTGGGATGGGCGTTCCCCATGGATCTACAGATTGCTTCTGGGGCTGTGGAGTGGTATGACCCATTATGTCCAAGAGACCTCCTTCCTGTACCGGCTACAAAGTGTAAATTTCATTTGTTATTAATGATAAGAATATAAAAATCACATACACTAACCATGCCATGAGAAAAATTAATGTTTTAATAACGACAGTCTTAACGATAGTAATGAATTCACAAGAACTCTTCACATGAAAAAAATTAAACACAGTTGCAGTATATGTTGTATTTCCAAGGATTAACAAAAACAATGAAGAGATAAATTACAGCATTAACTGCACATATAACATACTATAGCTAAGAAGCATGCAAAACTGGTTCAATAAGATGGGAAATGTGTAAACTTTGTAAACTGGGGAGAACTGTAAACTCTACAATCAAAGACAACATGTCAAACTAATAGCAATTTTTTCAATTTACGTCACATAAGAGGATCCAACTATCTTTTAATAACATGATCACTAGAAGCATATGATATGCAGTTTCAACAAATGGTTGTGCATTTTTAAAATTGACAACTTAAAATGCAAACATGCAGAAAAACAATGAACAGGCTATCTTGGCATCATGCCGTCATGCTTAAAACACTGAAAACTGTGAAATGGAAACTGACATTAAAACAGCAATTTAAGTTTTCTGCTAAAGTCCAAACTAACCATTCTATAGGTTAACAACTTTCAAATTGTATATATATCATAAAATCTCTTTTAAAACCATCCTTGTAAAAACCTATAATTAACTATCCCTTCAAAAAAAGTGATCATCCTGTGATTAAACCTAACCTTTCCAAGGTTTATTTCCACAAGGAACTGATAAAAAATTAAGATATTTAATCTGGTTTCTGTGACAATTATGGTGAAAATTGTGTGCTCTTTAAAAATAAAGGTAACAATATTCTGCTGTGGATGTGTTATATATATAAATCTGGGGAAGCTTTGGGAAGGGGGGTCAAGTGCTCCTGGTCTTAATAAAGAGTTTTTCATAGAGCTGAAGCAGTAGAAGTAATAATCTCTGAACTCTGTTCTGCATATTTTAACTTTTAAGTGCACATCTATATTACCAGATGTTATTTTAACAGCTTTAATTTCTAACTTATTAAATGTTGTTGTTTTTTTTCATTTATGTGTGAACTGCCAATGAGTTCTATTAGATGGGAAGTACATGGATTCTGGGAATGTCTTGACAATACTATTAATTACTTGGTGCAATTTCCTTTACTTAGCCTTCAGTAGCTTTTTATTGTGCAATAAAACACTGCTGCATTGGCCATAATCAACAACACACACAAATATCAGTGAAAACAGAACAAACTGGGCATGCTGCTATATTACTATACACCACTGACCCCCATGTTTTTATATACAAGACAATTTACTTTCAACAAGGCAATGAGGACAGATCTCAAGGTAACAAGACAGCAGTTAGTAAGCACTGTGTGGGTGTGAACAAGAAAGAAATAAGCTTCTTCATAATGAAAAATACTCATCTTTAATCATAAATCAGTCAATTCAAAATTCAAAATAAATAATAGTAATAGTTTAATTTTAAAAGGATAAAGTGCTTTCACTTAGGTTGAAACAAAAAGGTAAAGCTTAATATAACTAAGGTCAGAACAACTTATGTAGAAGAAAATTATTTCCTAAGTCTGTTTGACATACAAATAGATATCATTAATCTGATGCTCTCAAAGCCTTACTTTACTTTTAGGTTTTGTGTCTTGTAGTCTCCGCTTCTCCTGTAAAAAACAGGGTCTTTTTCTGTATGACTTTGGTCTCTTATTTTATGCCTAAAATGCCTGTTGACAGAAATGTTTCTAAAAGAAAACTACCCAGTATACGGATGAACTATCAATAAGAGATAACTCAAGAGAGACAAAAAGTAAAAATGTTGAAAGAAAATGGAATCTTGATTAATTTTAAGTAGAAGTAAAAATAGTCAAAACCTTTGAAAATAATAATTCCTAAATGAAATACATTGCCTCTTACTCGTAAACAAAAAAATGATGTAATTCTTATGCAGCATGCCTGTTTATAATCCATGTTCACATAAATGATGTTGTTCTGACAAATACATGCTAAGCCAAGTGTCAGGTTGTTTCTTCATGTGTACAGCTAAATTATTACTAAATGCCTCTACATTGGGGCAAAGTGTCTTTGACTGCATTCTAGAAGAGTTCAAAATATGGATTCTCAGCAGACTATAGGGCATATACACATCAGAATGTATAAGATTACTGAAAGATGGACTGATGTCAAAAGACGATCTGATTACAAAACCATCCCTTTATGACTAAATACTGGTGAAACATTCTGGTCTTCTGGTACTGTCAATTTTAGGAGAATAAATTTTTAGTACAAATCAGTCCTGTTGTGAACAGCCCTAAAATTTGTCAGCTATCCACCCTGGCATGTGTGTTGAAGTTTGAGCATGTCTAGAAATGATAAAACCTATGTAAGGAAAATTACCTGTAACATATAGCTGTAAAAGAAATATGAGGATAAAAATGTATGTAGCACATAAAAGTATGTACCTATATTGCACACAGTGACAACATCACCCCACCCCTCCCAAGAGCAAACATTTTATACCTCTTCTTTTTGACTCTCCTCCATGGCCAACTGTAGCCGCACATCATCTCCACGCATCTTTCGCACCTCCTCATCGTGTTCTTCCTTGCTCATTGCCAGTGCCAGTTGGAGTTGCAGTTCTTCCTCTCCCACAGTACTGGGGCGTGCAGCCTCAATTTCTGTGGAAAGTCTGCTCTCATTGCTGGGAGATGAGGCAGCTAGAAAACAAGAAAATTTAACCATTTTATTGCATATCAAAACTTTTTTTTCTAGGTGAATGTGATTGGGCCCATTAATGTTAAAAATCCTGAAGATTTACATTGTTTTTCCCTAGGTGAATGTGATTGTTACAGTACACATTACTGCAGAAATATTATCTTAATGACTTCAGTTGCTTTGTTGCTCATTTGAAAACATGACCTCATTAAGGATTATGGTAATCTTTCATATAGATAATCTTAATTGCCAGTATACCAAACATCAATCCCAAAAGAACTTACAATAAATTCCAATAATTGTAAACAAAAACACTGCTTTTGACACTGGGATTAGCTACAACATAAAAGAACTGAGATCAGTCATATTTCCATGCTCCATGACTGAACTGTCTGCTTTCTGGGTGGCTTTCAGCTCTCTAACAATTATTTCAACTATAACCTTGGTTCCATGGTCTCCCTACCTCCAGTTGCACCCCCATAGGGATCCGAGTAGCCCCCAGCAGTGGTCTCAAGTTTGGGACTAGTTCCAGGACCTTTACCAAACTGAACCTGGATAAATACAGAATAAATGCATATCCATTACAATGCAGATAATGAATGATTCAATGCCTGTATCTGTGACTCATCATAATGGGATTCACGACATGACAATATTACTGCATTTCTTTCTAGATTATGTTTAATGCTTGCGGTTTTCACATTTTTGCTGGCTTAATTGATGCAGCCATAGCCAATTCTATGGGAATAGCTATTCATCAATTACCCAATATGTGATCTTGTCAAGAAACATCAATCTCTACTTCTGATCATTGCTCATCATTTAACTAATTTCAAATTACTCTAATATGTAAACGAAGTGATATTACTGCAACAGAACCAAGCTCTTACTAACAAATGTCAAGATATGAGGACATTTATCTTCAAGTGCTTAAAGTCAAAATTTCATTTCAAAAGACATATTCACAGAAGAAGTTAGCCAAACTGCATTATAGACAAAATGACATAGTCCGATTACAAAATATGGGATTGGAAAATTTGAATATGATAGGGTTCCTTTGTGATCTGAACCATCTGGTGAGCTGAACAAGTCTTTTTCTGGCCCAACTTTGTGCTGATCCAAACACATAAGAAGCAATGTTTTAGTATAATCTTTTTAATATCTGTAAATAAGGACATAAAAAGTTGTCCACTTATTCACCTGTTGTCCACCCTGACTTCCAATTCCTGACGGATTCTGAGCAAAACGCTCCTTAGCTTTTAATGCTTTGGCTCTTTCATTCTTCAGTCTTTCATCATCTTTTAATAAAGCCACAAGCTGCTTTGCTTTTTCACGCACATTCATTCCTTGATCCTTGTTGTCCTCTACATACTGAAAATCTTTCAGTGTTTGAATAGCAAATATATTTTCTTTACATTGTTGTGCCACTTTCTCACTCCCAGTCTTTATAATGTATTCCAAGAGAACTAATGATTTGTAAACATGGCGCCAGTTTTTTCCATGATCGTTCAGTCTTTTCCACACCATCTGCATGATTTCTGTAAAGGCTACAACATTGTAAGTCAAGTCCGCAATTTCTCCCATCAAAGTGCTTGATGGTCCCCATGGGTCGTTAGAGGTTGCCTCCCGCACTTTGATCTGGGGATCTGAGAAGTTCTTCACCACATTTTTTATTGTTCTTCTGATTGGCGGCATTTTTATTCCTATGCTGTATTTTTTCACTGGACAGTCAGAGCAGCATCATAGGGCGCAATCTATATGTGAATAGAAACAACACATTGTAATAAGTCTGGGAGTTCTGTGATTGCATAAAAAATACTCCCAACAGCATTTGGTTAATTGCAACTAATTGTCACTTAACATTTGAAAGAATTATGAGAAGGGATATAAAGGGGGAGCAGTAAAACACATGGGGAAGGTAAAACAACACAATGCACAAGTTTTTTTACAAGGATGAATTCAGTGATATAAGTTTGGATCCCATTGAGAATATCAAATAAAAGCAATCTATTATCACAATTAACTACAGCTTTACTCAAGGGAAAATCTTTTATCAAACTTTCTGAATTTCCCTAACAATTTTACTGGAATTAGTTATTTGGGGAAACATGGTAAATATATTTTTGACAGAATTCTTCTGAATCAACATTTTTATTATCATTAAAACAAAGACACCAATTACGGGCCATTTAAAAACTAAACAGTCTGGGCAGATAAGTGAAACACAAAATATACCAGCCAGTGAATAATGCTCAGATGTATTGATCTTAGCTTTTTCATGGAATTTATTGGTGTGTGGATTGAAAGTTCCATTTTCACATATTTATTCACTAAGCCCAGACTATGACTAATTTCAAACAGTTAGGCCCTAACAGGTGCCAGAATAGGGTTTTGTCACACAATTCCCAGGAAAATTTCATTGAAATTTTAACCAATATGAATGTAGAGAAATGAGTTAACTACTATAATAAGCTGACAAAAGAAGTATGAAATATATTAACAAATATAAGGGCAAGCTGCAGCAGCTATTAATCATCTGACAAGTTGCTAAAGTGATTCTTGACTATGGTAAAGCAACTGTGAAGCATAATAAGAAAGTTAACACAAAATTCTATTAACTAATCACATTAGCCCAGAGGGATTTTGAACTGACAAAGGTCATACTTCTTATTGTATTTACAGATATCACTATTTCTAAACATCAGTTATGAAATAAGGATATCTTTAGACAGTAAATGACAACCATATACAAAGAACACCCTAACTATATATGTACAGTAAACCAAAATTAAATTGAAATATAAATATCAGTGATAGCATTACCACAAGTCAAAAATACACAAACTGACATTTCATTTTCAAAGTTTACCTTCAAAAACCTTTACCATACAATGAAACTGTGAAAAACTGTAACTGCATATTTATTAATAAAGGAGTGAAATATTTGTGTGTGTGTGTGTGTGTGTGTGTGTGTGTGTGTGTG